AATAAATCGGAGAAAAAACAATCAAATGTGGTATTACCAGCGATTCCAAAATTAACGTCAATTACAAATATATCGCCATTACATTTTTATGAAAATAAAGAAAATGAACTCTCAAATAAGAGTTCAAGTAGATCTGCTGATGTTTGTCTACCTTCGAAAAATGACCAATTGAAAAAGATTGAATCAAAAAGAACAGATATCTCACATCTACGAATAAATAATGCCAGTTTATATTGTGGAAGAAAAAATGAAAAGCTATTACACCTTTCCGAACATGATAAAAAGCCTCTGATTGGTAGGCAATTTAATATTGCTAAAGAAGATAACGTAGATGATATTAATAAAGGTTGCAATGTAAAAAAATTTTCTTCAACCTATGAAAAAGGGTTGTGTAAGATGAATCCGAAAGTAGCACATAAATGCGCATATGCTTCAGACGGAACGGTTTCGTTAAAATCTATTGCAGACGCAATTTGCTTTCTCAGCAGTATGTTGACATTTTATCTGTTTGCATTTAATAGCGTGGAATAAACAAAAACCTATTATAACCAAAGTTATCTCTTTACAACACAAATAAGATAATAAAAAATTTTTTATTGTTTAGGTGAAGTGTCATTGTGCAAATTCACAGTACGAAAAGCTGATAAAACCCTAGAAAGTTTTGTGGAATCTGAGATAACACCGAATAAAAATGTATCAATTAAACAATCTCAGCCTGAAAATCCAGAAATGTATCTGGAGGAATTTCCACTTTTAACTATGGACCAATTGAAGGCAGTCGAGAGCAAATTAAAGAAAGACGACATTTACCGTTCAAAAATCGTAAGTAGTATTTGTAATATTTTATATAAATTTGAGTAAAATGAATATTTATGAGAAAATATTCATGTTTATTGGTCTGTCGACTAACATTAATTGAAGAGCTTAGTGGATAAATATGTGAAGTGATATTTTTTGAAAAAAATGGAGATTTCTAGGTGGAAGAACCTGTTATGACCTGCTTTATAATATAGAACAACCATTGATTCTGCTATAAAATTGTTACTTAACATGTTCATCCACTAAGCTCTTCAATTGTTACTGTAATTTAATCGTGGTTGGTGAAATTAATCCTAAAGACCTCTTTCTTTCATCAACTTCGGTTAGATGAACCGATGGTTAAGATTTGCAGGATGACCAACAGACCTCTAATAGACATGAATACTGTGTATAATCCTCATTAGATTTCTGTTGGTCACCTTGTAAATTTTAACCATTGGTTCTACCATCTAAATGAAGTTGATGAAAAAGTTCTAGACACAAAATAATATTTATGTTTAGTCTTTCACAATTACCTTCCCATCCAGTACTTAATTGCTCGTCAGAAACAGTCCCATCCAATACTCAATTGCTCGTCAGAGTTTCAGTTAGTTCTATTTATGGTCACTTTATTGTACTACAAAGATATCTCTAAATACAACTTTATTTAATTTCTATATGCCTTTATTTAGTTTTTAATTTTTATTATTTTAAAAATATATTAATAGAAATATATTAATTATAAATATATTATTATAAATATATTATAAATATATCATTAGAAATATATTAATTTTTATGATGCCAATTTTAAGTAAAGTAAATATTTAGACGACCAATAACGAGCTCCAAAAGTTCTGCGTTTCAAATCCACTTCTTTGTTCCTTGATCTCAAATTCCAATTCAACAGTTGAACGTTTCGGCTTACTTAGCTGTTTTCAGCAACAGTATTGAGATTATAATAGAAAATATCGTTTGTGTATTGACTCTCCTCGGAGGTCCGTATGTAAAATGTTCGGTTTGACTCGAAAACCTATATATAAAGAGATGTTAGTTTATCGATAAATTGATTCAATCCATCGATACAATAATTAATAGTCGTTTGCCAACTTTTTCAAAACAACAAAATAAGACTCATCCAAGGTGTCTCTATTAAGATTAATACCATTCCTTTGTTTCTTTTTATAATATATTATCTCAGATATTATTCTTTTGTGGAAATTGTGTTCTGTGTCCAATATTCTTACGCCTTTCCAATCAAATGTATGGTTATAAGATAACATGTTTTCAGTGACTACAGAATGTTTTTATCAATGGATTGAATCAATTTATCAATAAACTAACATCCCTTATATATATGGGTCTTTGAGTCAAACCGAATAGTTTACATACGGATCTCAGAGAAGAGCCAATACACAAACATTTTCTATTAAAATCGCGATACTGTTACTAAAGAAAGCTAAGTAAATCAAAACATTCTCCGTCTCTCTCCCCCCTCCCCCTCTCTCTTCCCCTCCCCCCTCTCTCTCTCTCTCTCTCTCTCTCTCAACTGTTGAATTGGAATTTCAGATCAAGTAAGAAAGAAATGGATTTTCACGGAGAATTTTTGGAGCTCGTTATATTGGTCATCAATAATTGTTAAGTTATTCTTGAATCAAGCGGTAACTATTTTACATTTTAAACATTTAAATATTTTGACGACTTTTCAGCAAGAAACACAAATTAACAGAACTAAATTTCTTTGAGAAAACTGAACTTCTGCGAAAATTTGTATTGTGCAGTCTTATTTCGAAATCATTTATAAGTTTAATTTTAAAATACTTAATTTTACTCTAACAATAAAATAGAAATGTCACTTTTGTTACTATTTTAGTATCTGGAAAGTTTACTTTTTGTTTCTTTGTCAATATTGTAACTATCAACTTTAAAAAATTTTTAGATTAATGCATTACATATTGGAAGTATCGGTGACTCTGCTCAAAAGAAGATTAATTCGATGTTACGAATGGTGTTTCACGACGATTTAGCAACTCTCTTCAATTGGAAGGGCCAAAGAGGAAAGAAAGATAAATTGTGTGGTCGTCGAATCAGCAAAGTAATGATAGGTAATGTTACGTTATTTCTTTTTTATTTGATGCATTTTGAAGATTAGATTTGATTGTGTACGATATTTGTTTACAGAAGCGATAATCAGAACGTACCCTAATATAAATGCAATTGCATTTGGAAGGAAAGCCGGACCATGGCTGGCTCAAGCCAGCTTCCGTTTAAAAAAGTAAATATTGTTACTAGTATTTTTTTGTATTCATAAGTCAACCCGTATAAAATTATACGTGTATTATACGTTTTTTCTTATATTATAGAAATAATAAAGGAGATGACAAGAAAAATAATGAGATCAGTGATGCCAGTAATGCCAGTGCTGCCAGTAATGATACCAGTGATGTCAGTGATGCCAGTGATGCCAGTAATACTTAAAACATTTATTGTATTAATATGTGTTAATAAATGTAGTAGTATGTATATATTTAACATACTAATTTTGTTGTATTAATGTGTTAATATATCTTTTATTTTCTGAATAAAATTTGTTTAATTAAAAAAACATTTATTTAATATTTAAAAAACGTTTATTTAATGATAAAAATACATTTATTTCATGTTAAAAATATATTTATTTAACATTAAAAACATATTTATTTAATATTAAAAAATGTTTATTTCATGTTAAAAATTCATTTATTTAATGTTAAAAATATATTTAACATTAAAAACACATTTATTTAATGTTAAAAAAACATTTATTTAATGTTAAAAAAACATTTATTTAATATTACAATAAATATTTTTTAAATGAAAAAAGAAGGATCTATCCCATTATTTTTAACGTTTTTTAAACGTTTTTCAAACGTTTTTTTTTCATTATAAAAAATATTTTTAAAATGTTTACAAAATATTTTTTTGCTACTTGGGAT